CTTTTGCTGCTCCCAGCTCCCTTGTCTTATGGGCATGTAACTTCTACCAGCTCCCTTGTCTTATGGAAATGAACTCTTTTGCATTTTTTTCATGGACCCCTTAAGTTTTTAAGTTTTTAACCTGCCTATTTCACCCACAAAAAAATCCTTTCATATATTTTTATTGATTTCAGGAAGGAAGAGAAGGAAGAGAGAGAGAAACATCAATGATGAAAGAGAATCACTGATTGGCTGCCTCCTGCACACCCCTATTGAGGATAGAGCTCACAACCTGGGCATTTGCTTTTGTCCAGAATTGAACCCAAGACCCAGGGAGGCTAACTGATATATTTTTTTAATAGTTTAAATAAAATTTTATTTTTCAATTAAGGTTGGCACACAATATTACGTTAGTGTAAACTGATGTCTTTCATTATTTTTAGGGATGATAAAACCACACACCTATAGGATAAAGGAAGCTTCACATTTTGTGGCTTGGCACGCCATAGGGAAGAGGTCAACTTTCCAATTAACTTCAGCAGATGAGTTCCACAGTGGATTCTGACCTCAGATATCCACACCTCACCAATCAGACAACTGGCTGGACCCAGACCCAGTTGTAAGGGGAACAGAACCTTGTGAATGACAAACCCTCCTGAAAGGCATGGAATCCAGTGTGAATTCTACAAAAGAAAGTGGGGTCTGATAGCAGAAGAAGAGGAAATTGTACTGGGCAGACAAAGAGTCCTAACCATAGCCCATATGCCTGGATTAGATCATGATTTTTCCATTTAATGATGGAAGAATCTTAAATAAAAAACCTTACCTTGTTGGTCCTCAGTTTTCTTATTTATCAAATAGAATAATTATTTCACTTACATAATTGTTGAGAGAAATTAGTACATAATATAAGCTAAGGGCCTAACCCACTTCCTAACTCATGTCTAGTATCAGTAACCTAATTAGAAAAATATTTAAGAGATTTACTATGTTCTGTTCACTATAAAAGACACCGAAGGTAAAATTATAAGTGATAAGCATCATAGTCAATGAGTTTAATCGAATTATCACACAAAGAAATGTCAAATTAGCAAATACTACAAAAGAGAAGGAATTTCTACTTGTTCTATATAATAAAAGCCTAATATGCTAAGTGCCTGACTGTTCATTCTACTGGTTGACCAGTTGCTATGACACACACTGACCACCAGGAGGCAGACGCTCCAACCATTAGGTTAGCTTGCTGCTGGGGTCTGGTTAATCAGGACTGGGCCAGATAGGTCAGACACACCCTGGAGTCCTTTCCAGGACACACCTTTCCAGCCCCAATTGTGTGCACTGGTGGGGTCCCTCAGCCTGGCATGCACCCTCTTGCAATCCGGGACCCCTTGGAGGATGTTGGCAAACTATAATAGGCCTGATCCCCACAGGCCAGGTCTAGGGACCCCACCGATGCATGAATCCATGCATTAAGCCTTTAGTGTTTATAATAAGAAGTTGATAAAATCAGAGTATTTGAAAAACCCTGCCTGAGGGAACAGAGGGAATATTGAGTTGAGATCTAAAGAATGAGAAATTATTTACTAGGCAAAGAGCAGAGGGTTGAACCAAGTGGTCTAAGCAGAGGCAGAAGGAAGGGTACATACAAAGGTTTTGAAATGAGAGGGAATAGTAATGAACAGAAAGAAGGCCCTTGTCTCTTGAGCAGGGAGGCACAGCATGAGTTGACTTTGAAGAGGCAGCGAGGGGCGAGACCCTAGAACACTTGAAGTCTTTGCTAAGGTATTTACTGCTTTGTCCCACGAGCAATGGCAAGTTACCAGTTTTTGGCAGAGGAATTAATAATCAATGTGTGATTTTCTCCTTCTCTTTTTTCACCTTCTCCAAAGATGAGAATGGATGGCCTCCCTCTGGTCTGGTCTGGCTTTGGCAGAAATACGAGCTTTAGTTTGGGGTGCCACTTTTTTAAAGAAGGGTATTGAAAACAACCTGTGTTTCTACCAGGGGCAGCCACAAAGTGGTGAAGAAAAAGACGTTTCATGTGCACAAAACAAGACTGAGAAGATTTAGTTACTAAAAGAAATTTGTTTCTTAAGAACAAATGTTAAAGTTTTTTTTTTTTTTTAAAGCTATTCAACAATTAGATTGATTAAAAAAAAAACACCCCACCAGCATGGTAGACCAATTAGCATTGAAAGTATGCAAGGAAAGACTAGATAATCATGAAGAGACTTTCTTTCTAATGTATCAAATGTTGAACTCTGTGTACCCATTGTGAGTGTCTACTATTTCTAAAAGAAGAAATGCCAATTATCCACTTGGGCCATAGCTGTGCCACTTGTTCACTTTGAAGTACCTCCTGCTTTTGTTTCAGTTAGGGAACTGGATTCTGGCCCATGCCTCCTCTCCAAGACACACTTTAAAGAGAAATCTCAGTCTTCCTGACCCACTTCTGACCTTGCCTACTATGGTTGATTTGCATACTAACTCTTTTAAATCCCTTTGATATGTTTTCTTTATTCTCTTGACTAGATTTCAAGTAACATGATCATATAGCAACTGTAGCACAGCACTATGAAAGAAAAGATACAGAGTTATGACTGGGCTGGTGTTGTTCAGTGGTTGAGCATCAACCTATGAACCAGGAGGTGATAGGTTTGATTCTTGGTCAGGGCACATGCCCAGGTTACAGGCTTGATCCTCAGTGTGAGGCGTGCAGGTGGCAGCCAATCAATGATTCTCTCTCATCATTGATGTTTCTATCTCTCTCTCCTCTCTCTCTCTTACCTCTGAAATAACACACACACACACACACACACACACATATATATATAGCAATTACTTTAAACTTTTCTTGTGGTCCTTTTGTCATACATTGATTTTCCTAATCTTGGAGATAGTCTTCTAGCTGGGAGCTCCAGAGCCACTTGGAGTGAAGCCCTGGAAGGATGCACAGTGACATAACTAGTCTGCATTTCCACTCCATGTTCTCCCCAAATTTATGCTGTTAAGTATGGTAGACTGAGTAGGTGCCCCCTGAAGATGTCAACATCCTAATCTCTGGAACTTGTGAACATGTTATGTTATGTCATGTTCTTATGATATGTTATGTTTTATGTTATGTTATGTTATGTTATGTTATGTTATGTTATGTTATGATGTTATGTTATGTTATGTTATGTTATGTTATGTTATGTGGCAAAGATGGATATTATATTGCTAGTTAGCTGACCAAAATAGGGAGATTATCCTGGATTACCCAGGTGGGCCCAATGTATTCATAAGGTGCTTAGCAAAGTAGGAGAGAGAGGCAGAAGGGAGAGTCAAATGGTTTGAAGGGAGGAGGATTGAACTCACTATTACTGACTTGGACAATGAAGGAGGTTATGAGTCAAAGAAATAGACAGCTTCTGGAAGCCAGAAAAGGCAAGAAAAGGAATTTTCTCCAATATTCAGCCCAGTGAGATTTATGGCTCCAAACTATAAAATAGTAAGTTTGTGTTAAGCCATTACCTTTATGGTTATTTGGTACAGCAGCAGTAGAAAACTAATACAGTGTGCTTCAAATTTTGCCTAGTTTCTTTTTCTCTAATGATTATATTAGTAGGTTTAGCTCATTCATTTTTAACAAAGGCACACTCAAACTGATGAAGGCAAACTTTGAATCCTACTCTCTTATTAAAATACCTAATTCCTACATTTATCCATTATTCTTGTTCTAACCCATTATTGATGTTAATGTCTAGTTAACATGTTCTTTTAAAAAAATTAAAATGCCTTTTTAATGGTCTCCAGTTATAACAAACATACAAAAGGGTTTTGGAGACTCAATAAAACATTTATTTTATGTAATTTTTAAAGATGGTACAGCCAGAGCACTGGATTCAAATGAAGGTCTGCTGTTTACTAGCTGTGGTTTGGGAAAACTGACCTCGTTGAGCCTGCCTTTCACCATCTATAAAATGGGAATAAAAATGGGAGGATCTATACAATAGCCTGAGGAAAAGATTTAATTATATAATCCATGTAAAGTCCTTGGCATGACGCCTTGTATGTAATTAAGTGCATCACATAATGGGGTGTTCGCGAATATTATTGTTCATTATCTTTCTGATTTCAAAAACTTCTCTAACAAAAAAGCAGTTCCCAGAACACTTGCTGTGTGTGCAAGCTGCACAGTTAATAATCTGCACTTCCTTTCAATCTTAATTTCTAAAGAAGCAGCCATGAACCCTTCTGAATTTAGCAACTCACTTAGCAATACTTAACCCTGAATAAACAATTCCTTTAATTATAAAATATTTTTTCACTAAAGTAATTGTTAAAAAAAAAATTAGAGGAGTAAGACAATGGTCTAAGTCCTAATTGATCCCCTGAGGGGGGCAGGGTAAGTTATTTGCTGGGCTCCTGAATCCTCTTCCCAAACACCCCTGTACTGGGCTTTGTCCAACCAGCAAAGTATTTGGGTGCCAGGTGAGCTCCTGAGCACTGAGAGGCCGCGCTGGACTGGCCGCGTCCGGCGCGCAGCGGCTGCCAGGCTGCGGGTTGGTAAGCTTCTCCCTTGGAGCCCGTGCGCCCTCGTGGCCTCCCGCCGGTGCGCGCCCGCGGGCAACGGGACGCGCTTCACCCGATCTGTTCAACTTCTGGGCCATCCCCTAGGCGCTGAAGCCCTCCCAATCTCCAATCTCCCCACCCTCCGCCCCCCACCACCCCGCGCCGGGGCCGGGACTCGCTCCTCGGGGCTCCGGAAGGGAAGGAGGCGTGTCCGGAGCGGGCGGGCGGGCGGGAGCGATATAAAAGTGCTGGCGGCGCGCCGGCCGGGGTTTCACTCGCCGCCTCGCGCCGGGACCGGGACCGGGAGCGCCGCAGGGAGCACGGGCCGTGGACAGGGCGCTGCGCTCGGGCTACCCAATGCGTGGACTATCTGCAGCCGCTGCCCGTGCACTATGCTGGAGCTCCAGCACAGCTAAACGGAGTCGCCACACCTCTGCCTGGGCCGGATCGCAGCGCTGCCTTTCCTTATGAAGAAGGCACAAGTGAGTAGGGCGCACCCGGGAGCTCGCCGAGCGGCTCTCCAAGAAAATCGCGCCCGGAGGCCGGCGCGTCCCGGCCCCGGAGCTGCCTGGGCGGACCGGGCTGCGCCCGCCGGACCCGCCGAGGAGCTGCGGGGGAGACGGGCGTGGCGAGCGAGCCCGAGCCGCCCGGGCCCGGTGAGCCGGGGAGAGCGGGAGGGGGAGTGATGGGAGGGAGCCGGTGCCAAGTTCGCAGCCTCAGCCGCTAAGTTCGGAGCTGTCAGGACGAGCCGCAGTTCCTGTGAGGAGGCAGGATCTGCTCTCTTGGGTCGGAGAGTTTTAAGTTCTCACGGAAAAGCATGTCTTTGCACGGGAGACATTTTCCCTCGGATCCCGGGGAGATTACAAAACGGCTCCCGGTACGCCACCCTCGCTCGCTCGCTCGCCCTCGCACCCAGGTTTCTGGGCAGCCCCCAGGTGGGCTCGGGGCTCGTGGGGATGCGGGTGCCACCGCGGGAGCCACGCCGACCTCGCGTTCCTTAGCGGCGCTCCGCGGGGCAGAGAACCTGCCTGGCCGCCCGCGGACACTTGGTTCCCCGCAGCATTGGCGGGGTTTGCAGCGATGGGGGAGCTCTCCGGAGAGCTCTAGATGAGGTGATACCTCCACACGGCGCCCACCTTCTTTCATTACGGAATAGAAAGTTTCTTAAAAAAAAAAAAATGGGCACCTCTAATGATAGTTATTGAGGGAATTCTCAGTGCTGCTAAATTGTGGTTATACACTTAAACACCGGGTACAACACCGCCCAGGGGTACAATTAGATCCCCACTCCCCCAGCCCCGTTGAGGCAGATAATGTGTCTTGTCATTCAGAAAGGACCCCACGGTGCTCCTGTCTGCAGTTCTTTTCACCACTGCAGTTCCTACTTACCTCTTCTCGCTTCTCCGCTTCGGAATTGTGTGTGTCTGCCCGGGTTAGGTAAGGCTGCCCTTTCACCCCCCAGAGGTTCTATCTGAGATTGCAATTCCTGAAATGTGGAATTGTTGGGGGGGAAAGGGAAATCTTCAGTTCCGAATGAAGGCATCAGTGTGGGGGAAATGCTATATTCAAGGATGCGCTTCGTATCGTATTTTAAATAGATGTCCAGGCTTGAGGGGTGTACACATTCAAAGGGAATGGGGAAGAATCAGGGTCAATGGCGCCCGTGTGGAAAAGGGCAGGGGGGAAGGAGCATTGCCTGGCAGGAAGGTTTGTAAGGTTTCTAGGGCAGAGGCTTAGGGGGAGTGAAAGGGAGTGCAGTTCCCTTTCTGCAAGCAGGTTGGTTTATGGGCAGAGCATTGAAGGCCACACCTGGGATCTCCACAGCGTGCTGCTGAAAGGCAAGCGGTAAAGGCTGGTGAGGAAAGAGAGGTTACAATGTAATTCCTTGATTTGTACAAGTTTTCTGCTTTGCAGGAATAATGTGCACAAGCATAGAACCCATTCCCTGTCACAGTCGCATCTGCTCACATGAATGGTAGTGGTGAGATCTGGGTGGAGAAATCTCTGTCTACCAGTTCAGAAAGAGAGCCCAAAGCTTCCTATTTAAACAAGAGCACTGGAGACAGAGCAGGTTAATGACCAACACTCCAAAGGAGGGCGACATACTATCATGTCACTCTGAGTGTCAGTAGGATTGATGATCCTTGCACCCTTGCTTTGCGAAACACATGTGAGCTCTGTAATCTTCTTCCTCACTCTGATTAAATGGCTGTGCAAATCTGATTACATGGAATAATTCCATTGAAAACTAGGAAGAGGTCAATCTAGCCCGAAACGCCGTGGTGTTAGTGACCAGTGCTGCCGACCAGGGTCATTTGAGATAGCTAAATATTTTAGAAATGTGACCTGCTCACACCAAGTTAAAGTGCAAGCCCCCTGGGGGAACTTGCTGATGTTAGAGGACTTGCAGGCATAGGAAGGCAGTGCCCTTGTTGAATGAAGGCATTCATTGCCTGGGATCTGATGACCTTCAAGGTTTCCTTTAAGGATACTTCTAGCAATTCCACATTCTTGCCACTGTAAAGGCGGACATCAGAAATGGTATGAAATCAATAACGTAATCTGTGGAAATGAGGGTGAGAGGGATTAGATCCTTGTTAATATCACTAAATTTTCTAATCCAAAAGGCACAAGAAATTCCCTATGCAACTCTGTATGGATGGAGAGCAGCATGAGGAAATCAAATATTAAGAAGTAAGATGAATTGCCAGCAAGGGATATTTACTAAATCAATAGTTTCAATGATCATTTATAAAGATTGCCTCAGTAAGAGAGTTCTATTTTAAGGCAAACAGGTTTTTTTTTTTCTCTCTTAGTATATATTACCCAAGATATAAAATTAGAACTTAATAAAAGTAATAATAATAGTAAGCTTTAATTGCAATTATGCAGTTCTCCAAAAATCACAGGTCCACCAGATGTTCTAGCCTTTCAGTTAAGCTAAATAAGTGTGAAAATTCCATTAAGAAACAATTGGGGTTCAATAAATTATTCTTTCATTTATTTAACATTTGAATGGACTTTAGCATTAAGAAAATAATTACATGGACAAGAGCTATGAGGAGCAATTATAACAAATTTAACCACAAATCTACAGAAATTAATGCATTTTCAGATTGCATTTTATTTATATTGTACAATTTTGCAGTTTGAAGGAAATTGTGGGGTTAGGTTCAGAAAGAACATCTATTTTAATCAATAGCCATTTATTTTAATGTAACACTCTATGTTAAATAACAATTGGACAGTATATTTTGCAAGACCATTTTAAAAAGTGCTATCAACTTAATGGGCCTGATGTCCGATTTATTGATGTACTTACATTTTAGTTTTGAGATGGTTTGTGAGAGTTTTCGTTTGCTTTCAGTTTTAAAAATATTAAGAAAAAAAAATCCATCTTGCAGATAGTGTAAAAAAAAAGCCATTTTAGGCATACATTAGTTCTCAGAGAAGCAAATAGACTGCTTTTTAGCTTTTGTTGTTCCAAGAAAACATCCCTCTTTTGTCTGTATGAGGATGTCATTTGGGTGATAATGCAAGTTTGTAGGGAAAAAAAATATGAAAAGAGCATTTCTCTCATATTATCCTTAAAGTCACTCCATTTGGAATGTGTGCTTTGAATAATTCTATTTTGTGTAGCTTTTAATTGATACATTCTGCCAAGATTTTAAAACTCAAGTGCTAAGTCAATTACATTTAACATAAAACAAGGAAATAACCATATGGAAACCTGAAGGCCTGAGCCAAACCAATTAAAATTGCTAAATTTTATTTATGTCTTATGTCTAACTGCTGATTTGAACATAGCAAATTGTGAACCACATTTCTTCTTTAATGGGAGGTGATTGACATCTTCCCATCACCAGTGGGGGGAAAATCCCTGCCCAAAAGGCTGATCTGAATATTGGAGGTTTTATGCACGTCTGCACTCCATGTGCCCTTCCCACCATGTCCAGGGAGCACCTCAGATGTAGTGGACACACAATGTGTGTCATGTAGCTCTAGCTTTTGAAGACTTAGATCCTAATTCCTGGTTTACCACTGGTGAGACAAACGACCGTGGGCAAATGGTTAAACTTCTTGGGAATTCCATTTTGTAATCTGTATGATGATTATAAAATGGTCATAAAGGGTTTTCTCACGTGGTGGTTGTAAGGATTAAAGGAGATTTTACATATATCTTTATCCCAGCACAGTAGCTTACTGTATTTATAGTCTGAATGTATTGTTCCTAAGAGAATTGCCTGCTGGTTAACTTAATGACCAGAGAAGAACTGACTATTGCAGGCTTCACCGGCAAAACAGAGACAAATCTGAATCTGTGGATTCAGTGCTGCCCATTCCAGACTGATGTCTGTTTATAGACTGTAATGAACACAGAGCATACTAGGAATGTATGAAAACAAAGGCTATATGTGGCATCAAGGATGTTAAAACCTTTAAAAGAAAAAATGAATGAGAGAATTAGAATTGAAATAGAAATAGAAAATGGAAATATCACCGCCATCTCTGATTCACACTCTTTTTTTCCACATTTCCACACTCTTGCTCTCTGAGTTCCCTTGTAGGATGCTGAGGGTTTATTTTGTTTGAGGCTGGAGACTTAGCTTATCCTATCCCTAGCATTCCTGCACTTGCTCTTCTGAGTGAGGCCATGCATTCATTTCTGCATGGTGTCCTTTTGGTCTTTCCCAGGCAATCTGCAGTGACATTTTTATCCATTATGCAAGTTTGGGAGATTTTTTTCCTTTTCTTGATTATCTTAATGTTCCCTTTTGTAAATTAGGGTAAGGCATTTGGATGTAAATCAATCTTAGGAGTGATCTTTTATCTTTTTTTCTAGTACATGAATCCAACAGCTGCAGGGGACTGCTTTTGGGTGTAAGTCACCTGTGTAGTCAGAACATTTATGAAACAAATTGAGGCAACACCAGGATGCTTTTGTAATGTAGCTGTGTTCAAGGTTAGTTTGTATAGACTTTGTCTCATAGAAACCATTGACTGTATCCTTAGATGCAGCAGAATGTGTTTTTCCTTTTTACTTGAGTTTAGGCACAGGAAGAACTGTTTACAGGGGCTGGGAGTTTGAGGGAATTGTTATTATCACATCTCTATTTTCTCTGTCCAGAAACAAAAAGGAGGTAGTGGGTTGTGTTTTTCTTTTTTTGAGATCTCAATGTATGTCACCTAAAGGAAGACTGTTCTTTATGTTGCTTTCTTTGTCTTTGGCTACATTTCACTGTTTTCCTAGGCAGCCACATTGATTTTGATATTAGGGGATGGAGTTCTTTTATTAGGCTGGATACTAAATTGGGTGACTTTGGAAAGAGATTTGAATCTCTTCCAACATCAATTTCCTCAACTAAAATGAGAAAGAGGTTCTAGGTGATTTCCAAGTGCCTTCTACTTCTAAAATTTTGAAGGTACTAGTAAAATAGAGGCTGAAACCAGATGGTATTTAAGCATCCTTTGGTTCTGAGAT